GAAGCCGGGTCTGGCCCCACGGTGGGAGTCTGTTAGGCTCCTAGATACTTAACACGTGTGTGCTTACGGGATGTGGCACGCCGAGGCTGCGGGCCGCCCCCGACCTGCTGGGAGAACACAGCGCAGAGCTGAGCAGGTCAAATGGAACACTGAGAGATGGAGCGCTCAGCAGAAGAGGAGACACCCGGGAAAGCTGGGCCCAGGACGCCTTGCCAGCAGGGAGCTGGGATTTACAGGGGCACTACCTACCCCACCCCCCGGAAAGAGAGGCCTGACCTCGAACGTGGCCCTGGGTAGCTGCTCTCACTGGGGCCGATGCTGCCTTCAAGGGACGCTGGGTGATGTCTGGAGACCACTGCAGTTGTCACCACTGGGGTCAAAGGTCACCAGCCCCGAGGGGAGCAGGTCTGTGACACCACGTGTCATAGGGGATGAGCGGGAGTGGAACGCTGGGGGTGGGGACACAGCCACACCGCCCCAACACAGACGCACGGGGTGGGGCCACCAGGCCTCCTCCTGCCCCAAGGGGCACTGGCTGTGCCTCCCGCTGCAGACAGGTGTCGAGGATAAATGCCCACAGACTGGCTAGAGAGGAAAAACACCCATGGGAGTAAATCCCACCCCCTACTGGGCAATGGCCTCTGTGCCCGCATCGTTCTGCGATGGGAAGTGGGATGAGGCAATGTTTGGGACACAGCACCAACTTGGGCTGCTCCATCCCGCCCAGGAGCTCAGGCAGACACGGGCCCTGCTGCAGAGGGCGGGAGGGGAGAGCTCCAGCCTACCTCCTGTGGGTGTGGAAAGGACCCTGGAAGCTCCACCCGGGGCCCTGGTCCGAGCCTTGTATCTAGGTAAGCCACCTGCTGCAGGGAGACTATTTCTCTGGGATTTTATAGCCAGAACCTTGGAGAGCCTCTGGCCTGTTGGGGCAGACCTGGGCCGTGGGCTGGGCCTCCTGCCTGCTGTGGGGCACCCAGGGATGCTGTGCAGGCAGGTGACAGCACATCCATGGCCCTGGCCCGGATTGTTCGGGACAGGAGCTGCCGGCGGGCTCATCCGGAACTCCAGAGGCAGCTGCAACCGGCTCACGTGTGGTGAGGGGTGGGGGCCAGCCTGCCTTTGGAGAAGCCCGTCTGCCCACAGAGGACCTGGGTCTGGGCGGGGGAGGAGGTGGCTGTCCTGCAGGCGGCCCCCAACTGGCTGGAGCCAGGCTGGCAGGGGAGGCCAGTGCCCATGTGCCACCCTGGGTTCTGCAGAACGAGGGTGACGGGCTTCCTCTGCAAGGCCACACAGCATGTGGTTCTTGGCTTTTTGGGCCAGGTAGTCTCTGTGCAAACGACTCCCCTCTGCAGGGCTAAGGGGACGCAGATGCCCCTCCACCCCGGGTGTGGCTGTACACACGGGATGCTCGTTTATGGAGTGAGGCTCAGTTTGGTCTGGCTGTCTCAGGTCACACACCCTTGAACTGCCCTCCCACCACGACCCTCTGAAGATGTAAACCTCCCGCTCAGTTTGCAGAAGGCATAAAGTTGCCTGCAGATCTGAGCCCCAGCTCACCAACCCATGAACACAGACACCCAAAATGCACAGGGCCCAGCCAGGGCAGGGGGATGGCTTCTCATCTGTCAGCTCCCGAGTACGAAAATGACAGAAAAGGGGCCGACTGGTTGGGGTGCGGGGTCCCTGGGAGTGGAAGAAGACGAACAAAGCAGCAAGCAAAGCCGCCTCCGGGCGAGTCGGGGGGAGGCCTCCTCCTTGGCTCTCTTCTGAAGAATGTGCTCCAAAGCGTAAACGGGACAGGGAGCTGGGCCGGCCAGACAGAAGCCAGAAAAGGGGGTTTCTGGGCTGCCCCCTTCCCTCCAATCAGGCTGCACATAAGACCTGGACCAGGTCCGAGCACCCCCACGTCCCAACCTGGACCTTCCCCTGCCCTTAAACGCTCCTCTGTCATCTGTGCGGCGAGACGCTCCAGCAGCCTCTCCAGCCTTGGCTGCTTATGGGAGTAGAAAACCCTGCCACAGTCAGGAACCGGCTGCCCCACCAACAAGCCTGAGAGTCCCCGACTCCACCAGACGGCCACAGAGGCCTTGTGGCTAATGCCACTCCAAGTGAGGCCCTCGCTGCCCAGGCCAAGCCTGACTACACCAGGGGGTGCCTGAGCAGGGGCTGGCACGGCGGGGCTGAGGCCTCCAGGAGGGAGTCCAGGCCCTGGGCGCCCGCCCGGAACCCGACGTGTTCCGCGCTGCACGCCGCTGGTTCAGCCATTTCACACTGCGCAGCCTGACAATGTGAGCATGGCGCCCAATCTAAGGCTGCACTTTCCAAATGTCACTTGTTAGTGAACACATGGCTGAACCCCAAATTGCTTTTAATATCTGGACAGTCCCCACTGCCCCGCGGCAGCTTCAGCTGTGACACCACCTCCAGGACAGGCCTGGGGCCTGGGGCTTACAGCTCAATCTGCTGCTGGGCTGGTCACAACACCCACAGCGTCCCCTCAGGAACACAAACACACAGACACACGCCCTCTCAAAACAGCCACGGCCCTGAGATACTGAGCTACTCCCTCAGATCAAAGAGCCGAAATCCCGACTTTCGGATCGATCTTCCTTTAGCTAAGCCAGAGCCTTCACTAGAGATACGAGAGGTTTTCGGAAGTGAGTCCCGGGGGCACCTCCCAGGTCCTTCCTGCTGGAAAGTCCTGCTCTTCTACACTGAACTGAAGGCAGAGAAACAGCCAGAAAAATAAAGGTTGGCTCATTGGTCCAGACCAGCGCAGCCAGGAGCGGTGTCACTCAGGCCGCCTACACTGTTTCCATTTTCCCAGCAGCCAGGTGACAAAAGCAGAAGGCGCTGGCATGCTCACGCCTGTGACCCCAGCACTCTGGGGGGCCGAGGGGGCGTCGCCTGAGCCCAGGAGTCCCGGACAGCCCGAACACTGCAAGACGCTGTCTCCGTAAAAGGGAAAACAAAGAAGTAAAAAGAAACGGGTGACACTCAGTTTATCTTTTTAATTTGAAATAGGGCCTCACGCTGTTGCCCAGGCTGGATGGAGTGCAGTGGTGCACTCATAGCTCACTGAAGGCTTGACCTCCTGGGCTCAAGCAATCCTCCCACCTCAGCCTCCCAAAGCTCTGGGATTATAGGTGTGAAGCCACCGTGTCCAGCCAAAAACCACCTTAATTTTATATATATACATATGTTTAAATATATATATACACACACGCATACACACACGTACATATAAAATTGAGATATACATATACATATATATACAAATAGAGATACACACACACACACACACACACACACACACACACACATATTTTTTGAGACAGAGTTTCACTCTTGTTGCCCAGGCTGGAGTGCAGTGGCATGATCTCGGCTCACTGCAACCTCCACCGCCCAGGTTCAAGCGATTCTCCTGCCTCAGTCTCCCCTGTAGCTGGTATTACAGGCATGTGCCACCAAGCCCGCCTAATTTTTGTATTTTTAGTAGACACAGGGTTTTTGCCATGTTGGCCAGGCTGGACTCAAATTCCCGGCCTCCCAAAGTGCTGGGATTACAGGCATGAGTCACCATGTCCAGCCACGGTCTGACATCTAGAAAATGCTGGGAGAGTCAGAAGACTCTGGGTCTGGCCCTGTGGTCTCTCCTATTACACCTGCTCCCATGAGCAGATCTGAGAAGAGTCCGCTGTCTGTGCTGACCCTGGCCTGGAGGAACCGGAAGTCTCCACAGTGGGAGGGGCGCTGGGAGGAAGCAGCTGCTCTTACTCTGGCCAGCCAGGCTTGGCGGGGGACGCCCCAGTCTGCTTCATCATGAGCAGCCACGTGGTCCCTGAACCAGAGGGAGACGCCGGGAGGGGCTGAGGCTGGGGCTGTCTCCGCGGGAAAGACAGAGGGGTCAGGAGGAGCTGAGCTGTTCAATGTGGCCCAGAAACAGCAGCCCTGAGCTGGGGCCACGCAGCCGAGTCTGGCCTGACAGGACAGCTCAGTCTTCCTTGGGGGAAGCCAGGAAAGGCACCCAGGGGACTGCAGGGACAGCCCTGGGAGGACACTCCCTGGCCCCCAGCACTGGACAGGCAGCTGCTTCCTTGCTGGATCCCACACTCCCCCTTCTGAGGCTTGGGGTTCGTAAGGCTTCCATGTCCCCATCACTGGGACTCCAAGGCAGAGACTATGGAGGAAGGGTGGCCAGCCAAGGCAACCCCATCCCACCCATGCCCAGCAGTGGCTTGTATGGGCTTCCCATCCATCCAGTAGCCTCCCATGCCCTCCACGTGGTCAGCAGCAGCCACGCAGACAGCTGCACGTGGCATTAGAAGGTGACAACAAGCGCTCGGTTCAGATGCAAATTGCTGGCCAACGATCGGCCTTCTGAGACCAGGAACGAGAATCACCAGAAAAAAACAAGCAAGGGCCACTCACTGAGAGTCTCTCACAGGCACGCTAAGCTCACTACAACCTCCAGGGACCCCACCAGCAGGAAGCGCCAGGCTCTGAGGAGCTGGGAGGGCTGCCACCAACCGGTAGGCGCAGAGGGATGAGGGCCGATGCCTGAGTGTGCTCCTGCCTGGCCAAGCAGCCCCCAGGAGAACAACCCATCCTCAGGACCACGACGGCCAGGAGACCCCCAGGGGCCAGCCAGGAGGGGGGACAATGGCGCCAGTGGAGGAGAGACCCCAACCGCAAGACCTGAGCAGTGGGCCGCACCCAGGAGGCCCAAGCAGGCCACCGGGTACCTGGCGTACAGAACGTGCCAGAGGGCCCTGGGCCACTGTCGTCCACCTGACCTGCCCAGCTTCTCTCTAGTCTTCAAGGTGAGGAGCGTTCTGGGCAAAAGCTCTCTGAGGAGCCTAGAGACAGACATTGGTCAAGAGTCCAGGCCCTGGGCTGAGCGTAACGGCTGGTGCACAAGCCATGGGGGTGTGGCTGCAGAGGCAGAGAGGAGCCGCCTCCCACCCTGCTGGGCCCTGTTCCCAGCCGCAAGCTCTTACCTGAGTGGCCACTTTGCCGTAATCAATCCACCGCAGGGTGGCGAAGTTGGTAGATTCTGCGCAGTTGAACCCGTGATTGAAGCCGGCGTGGTAGCCATAGGGAAATGTGATCATGAATTCCCCGGCCTCCTGCGTGATCTGTGAAGGGAAAGGGGACAGGTGAGGGCAGGGCCACTGGAAGTGCTGCAAGGGGCAGGGACGGGGCTTGAGGACTTCCCAGTGAGTGTCAGGGAGCCTGGCTTCCGAGCCCATGGGGTGGCACAATGTCAAAGGCAGCTCCATAGGCCTCCAGGGGCTCCATTTCCCACGAGGCTCATGAAGGACACGGCGAGCAGCCACATCCACAGCTCTGCGGCCTGCACTCGGCTCCTCCAGGCCCCTCCAGACTCCAGCAGCCCCTGCCCTGAGGCGGCCGTCAGCATCACCCTGACGGGAGAACAGCAGATGGAGCCATGGCTGGACGCGATGCCCGTGAGCGTGCCTCCAGCTGGACCTTCACGGGGAGCGATGGGGGCCTCCTGCTTTGCAGGTGGCTGAGTCACACAGTCACTGTGACATGGCCTGAAGCAGCTGGGGCTGGGGTTGAGGTGGTGCTGGCAGCAGCTTTAGAGTGCTCCGAGGACAAGACACGGCGTGCGCTCAGGACAGCCTGCTGCCCTCGAATGAGAAAGGAACCACCACTGCACGGGCAAAACACACCGGGAAGGGGGCCCAAGACACGCCGCCATCCCATGCCGTCTTCCCATCGCATCCCAACAAGGGGGGCTCCACGATGTCATGGAGATCCAGAAACACCTACACGCTGGGGGCGGGACCCGACACCACAGGTCAGCACCCTGGAGAGTGGGTCGACACGTCCAGATCCAGGTCCAATTCTGAAGGTCGGCGCATTAGACTCCACAGGTCTCTGAACCAGGACCCCCTAAACTGAGGAAGTGAGGTGCGTGTGGCTGGGGTAGGGCCCACAATGACCACAGGCCCAAGGTTTCCCAACAACCACCCCAAGGCCTGAAAGAAAAGGCAGGGCTGCCTACTAGTGCTAGCGTGCTGCAGCCTTCTGCCCTGGGAACCCTCCCCACTCTGGGGACACTTGAGATGACGACACTGACCCCCCCACTCTCTGTTCACTGCTAAGCCGGTCAATAAAGCCTTTGAAAGATGACCGTCCAGAAAAATCAACAACGAACGTGGAGCCATCACTCCGACCTGCCACACCCCAGGGATTGGGCCAAGGGTTTCTGAGAGGCGGGACTGTAGGCCTACGCCACAGACGTGGAAACTGAGGCTCATGGACTAGAAGTGAGTGTCCTTGAAAAGTGGGCCCCCTCCTCTCTATTCAACATCCCGTAAAACACAGGGGTTACACGCTGCTCAGAGTTCTGGGTGTAACCACGGCTCCGGAGAGTAACAGAGCTCGCCGGGCACTCGGGCACCACCCCCCAGCCCTCCGCCAGGCCACCCCCACCCGACCACGCACATGCTCTCAGTCACCAGAGACCTCGCTCCCTCCTAGAGGGTCAAGGGAACGTGTTGTACGGCAGTGACACGTGCCTGGTGTCTCCCACTGGCGTGTGTTTCTGGGATGTGTTCCCACCGTGGTGTGCACCAGGCGGCCACTCCTTTTTGTTCCTAAACAGGACTCGGCTGTGCGTGGATCTGTGGTCATCTAGCTATCCTCCTGTTGATGCACGTGCAGCTGTTTGCCGCTGGGGGCTCTTGTGAAGAAAGCTGCTAGGAACACTGATGTACCAATCTTTCTGTAGACGTATGTTTGTCATTTCTCCTGAGTAAATATGCAGAGTGCCATTGCTGGGGCACAGGGTACGTGCTTCAGTTTCCAAGAAAGCGCCGACTGGCTTTCCACGGCAGCGGCGCCATCCTGTACCTGCCCGGCTGTGAACGTCGTGCGGCTGCCCCTCCTCACTGCATTTGGTGGTGGTGTTCTGACGTGGACATCCTGGGGCTGGCGGCATCTCCTGGCTGGCTGCCTCTCTTCTACCGACCCCGGGCCCCAACAGTGCCCTTCATTCCTGCACCTCCTTCATAAAGCATCTGATCGGGCCCCTCACCCCGAATTCACTGGGCCTTTCTCTTCTTGCCTTTGATCTGCGGGAGTTCTCAGGCTGATTATTACATATTCCTCCAGAAAGATAAGCAGAGATCGCTGGATACACTGAAGTAACCAACAAGCTGCCAGAACCGGCGGGGCCTGTGGAGCCAACCGCAGCGTCAGACATCAATCAGGGCCTACGCAGCTTGGAAAAATGCTAGTCCTTAAGAACACGATATTTTTCTTTTCAAATAATTAATTGCACCAATCAAGGGAAGTCAGCGTGCATTAAGTTAATTTTTAAATTCATGTGAATTTAAAGTGACAGCCACATGCGGCAGAATACTGTGGTGGGAGGAGCACACACGCCCCTGAGGCCCCGCCCCCACCGTGCAGGGCGCAGGGCTTCTCTGGGCCAGCTTCTCCCCACTACACTTGAAGCTCCGTGAAATGAGGGCCAAAGAAAATTAAGATTTGGGCCTTTTTCAAAAAATGTAATTACTGGGCCAGGCATGGTGGCTCACATCTGTGATCCTAGCATTTTGGGAGGCCAAGGCAGGAGGAATGTATAAGCCCAGGAGCCTGAGACCAGCCTGGACAACATAGTGATACCCCATCTCTAGGGAAAAAAGAAAATTAAAAAAATTAAAGTAAATGCTCTTACTGATTCCTTTATGCTATTTGAGCGGACTTCGCAAAGCCTTCTCCCCACCACTTCCTCTAAGGCCAACTGACACTCCCCGTCTCTTCCACGGCCCTTTCGCACGTGGCAGAGAACCAGACCTGCAGGCACGAGTCACACTCAGAGACTTCAGGGATAGGTTGGACCCCCGGAATCCCAAACGGGGGTGATGGTGGCGGAGAGCCAGGCTCTCAGGGATGTCAGGACCTCATTCCCCCGGCCCGACCCCTCCTGTAAACCAAGGCCTGGAACAGGAAATGCTCTCGGTCAGGACAAGAAGGAAGGTTCCTCGTTCCTGTGAGGAAACCTGCGTCCTGGCGGCCTCGTTCTGAAACCACGGCATGTCCTCCGTGTCACTGCTGTCAACATTATCCGACAATCAATTAGAAGGCGCTGGGATGACGAACAGGCTTCACGGCAAAGTCGTCAGCAGTGACAAGATGCAGCCCCAGACGCCAGGCCCAGAAAAGGCCCGGAACGCAGTTTCCTCTGTGAACTCTTACAGAATAAATGGGGAGCCAATGGCAGATTACAGAAATACACACTTTTAATTATTAAAAAGCTCTGCTATTGATCGGCTTTTTCTCCTAGAAGTAAATACCATTACAAAGATTTATAAGTGGAGTGTGGGGAGTCACTGGTTTGAAGGCTGCCAGGAATTCCGATGAGGGGACCCACACACGCCACTCTCTGAAAGGGACGCTCATCTCAAGCCCGTGGTGTCTGAGGGGCTGAAGGCCAGTCCCCAGGCTGGGTGGCAGAGGGGCTGCGTGCCACAGTGGGACAAGGGCCTTTACCGTGGCAGTCTCTGGAGAAACTGGCGCCCGGCCCAAGAGGCAGCTGGCCGGGGAAGGAGGAGTGACTGCCCTGCCGGGATCTCGCCTGCTGCCATGCATGGTGCCAGCAGCCAATCTGGGGCCAGGGGTGAGCCGCCTCTGGGTCAGGTTCAGGGACTTTACAAACTGTAGTACGATAGAGACGCTGAGCCGGGAGTCCAAGGCCACCCACTGCATGCCCACACCTTCAGTGGGCACCCTTCCAGGAAGCACCACTTTGGAGAAGGTTCTAGACAAACCAGCCGGAAAATCAGTACTTCTCACTTCCCTGAGCAATGCCGTGTTCTGTCTCATTTTGCTGGTAATGAATGATGTTCCAACCAGAAGGCAGGGAGAAGAGGAAAGGCCAGAAGCCTGCCCTTCTCTGAGCAAGATCAGCGCTGTCTGATGAACGCCCGCGGCGGCTGGGAGGCGGCCTCCTGGTTGCGGCCCCGTCAGGAAGAGCAGATCCCTGATGTGCGAGCTGACGCTTTGGTGGTTTGATTGAAATGTCAGAAGCAACTTCCGGCTGGCTGACACTTGAGCCGCGCCACAGAGCACACTCACAAGCCGGCACATCACTCTTCCCGAGGCACCTCCTGAGCTGGGTTCCCCAGCTGCTCCCCACTCCTGCCCAGCATCCAGGGCTGCAGCCCAAACCTGCCTAGAAGGTTCCAGGCATGCGCCTCTCGCCTGGGCAGAGCTGGGGACACAGGTCGAGCCTCTCCATGCACAAAGGCTTCTCCATGGGGAAGGAACTGCCTCGAGTGGGTACAGTTGCTGGGCCAAGAGCACAGCTTGCTCTGCTCCTGGGACACCAAACCCCAGCTGTCCATCAATCCGGGTGCAGGGAGGCCCTGCCCGCCTGCCCTCTGCAAGCCAGACACCCCCCACACCCAGCTGCAGGTCTCCTCCATCGCAGCCTCCACCAGCAGCCCCTGAGTGAGTGCACAGTCTGCACGGTGCAGGAGCACCCCGTAGGTCACCTCTACACAGGCAGTTCTCACCACCGCCGGTGACATGGGCTGTGGGGTGCCTGAGAGTGAGAGTGTGCCTGGGGCGGCAGGAACCTGCGAGAGGCCCTCCCCTCTGTTTCTTTGGCAGCTTCCCACTAGGCAGGCAGGGGTCGCCCTGCCCTCCCACCCCTGCGGCCTGCAGAGGGGCGTCCGATGGCCACAACCAGGAGGAGGTTTGGGTTTGGTTTGGTTTGGGAGGGAAGGTTAACACCTCACCAGAGTCAAGCTCTGCCATCCTCTCTCCCCCATTGAAGAGCTGGAGGCTAACTGCTAATGCGGTCCTCCTCTGGCTTGCTAGCCATTGTTCTAGAAACTTCTCCAGGGTGAAGCAGCTTGTCTCCTGGGGTGTGTGTGGCCACCTCGGCTCAGGCCCAGCACCCTTCCACCCACAGGCGTGCTGGCCCTGCCCTGTACGCACCCGGCTGAAGGGGATCCCGTACTTCTTCAGGATGATGGGTGAGATGAGGGTCATCTTGTGCCGCAGAAAGGCGTCGCAGCCCTGAGAGCTCCCCGGGAAGAATCCTAGGGCGGAAAACACAGGCATGGGTCTCCTGGGCCATGGCCAGCAGGTAAGCGAGGACGCTGCCCTCTGGACGGGCAGGCCTTTTCCTAGCACGGAGAACGGGCACGTGGGAGCAGGGAGCATAACCAGACCTGCCCCTGGTTCTCAGGGCCCAGTGTCTGCAGCTCAGGGGAAAGGGGAGGACACAGGGGAGCTGCCCCACAGTACCCTGCTGAACACTCGCTGGCGGCAGACAATGGTGACGCCCTGTGGCCTCTGCGCAGTGACCACGTGAACGGACGCCCAGACTCATCTCCACCAAGCAGTGGGGGCAGCCCAGAGCCTCCTCACCATGCAGAGGTCCAGGTTACTCATGTGACAAAGTGCCTACCACGGCACAACCCTGGGGAAAGATGCCGTGTGGCTGCTCTCCTCTCGGAGACGATGTTCTAGAACCAGACCGGCCAGGGACAGTGGGGCTGGAGGTGGGGGGTGATGGTGGGGGTGACGGGAGTGATGGTGGGGGTGACGGGAGTGACGGTGGGGCTGACGGGAGTGACGGTGGGGGTGACGGGAGTGACGGTGGGGGTGACGGTGGAGAGGGACCGTGGAGGTGATGGTGCTGATGAATGGTGCTGCCTCCCCTGTGGGCACCTGCCGTCAAGGCCATGAATGAGACTGAGCACCTGCCCCACACACAGCACCACGGGTGTCCTCACTGCCACTGCATGGGTGAGGAAATTGAGGCCCAGGCCACCAACCAACTCACCCTCGGCCCCAGCACTGCCAGGAAGTGGCAGAGCAGGGCCGACCCGGGACGTGGTCAGAGCTCATGACCTCTCCCTGTTAGACTGGGCTGAGTGCACATGTGTGGGGCTGTATGCCCAGGAGTGTGCACCACAGCTGACTTAAAACAGCCCATGGAAAGCAAGCTCTCAGAGCAGTGGCTCGGCACCTTCCCAAACCTCACAGGCAGGTGGGAGGGGGGTGGCTCACACCGGGAATCCTAGCACTTTCGGAGGGCGAGGCAGGTGGATCTCTAGAGGCCGGGAGTTGCAGACCAGCCTGGCCAACATTGCGAGACCCTCTCTCTACAAGAAAGAAAACAAATAGCCCGAACTTCCTAACTAGCGCAGTTCAGGGACGTTACCACATCACAGGTGAGGATGCGCATTTGGGGCTGAGGTAAGACGTCCAGGCTGCCCAGAAGCAGCTCCTGAGGCCAGACCCTTGGTGTGTAGCACAGACCCTATGCCGAAGGGCCTTCCCTGAAGCAGCCGGTCACTGGAGTCAGCACGGAGGGAGCCTCCTCTCAGGTACTTCCTGCCCCACCACCCACTCTGCGAGTGACAAGAGGGAGGAGGCTGGCCCAGGAGCAGAAGGACCCTGGGAGGAACCCCTGGGTGAGGCCTGGCTCCAGGACGGACTGCGGACCCTGGGCCTGCTCCCCACCAGGGCGGCTGGCTCTTCCCAGGCTGTGCCTGCGTCCCTGCCCCATGGTGGTAGAGAGGTGCTGCCCTGTGGGCGACAGAAGGTGTGGGCATGTCACATGTGCAGCAGATAGGGAACCCACAGACATCCCCTCCAGCCAGGACTGACCCGCAGCCTCGGCCGGCCTGAAGGCCCTTCAAGAAGCCTGCACAGACCTCAAGCGCCTCCAGCCTGGGACACGCCCCCAGTGGGTCGTCGGAGGAAAAAGGCACACGTGTGTGGGTGACCAGCAGCGCACAGTCCGAGGCGGGAGAGTGGGGCCGCGCCACCTCTGCCAGAGCCCGGCTGCAAGACATCACGATGAGGTTCTACAAAGAACGGGGGTTTGACGAATCCGGCACCTTTTCTCTGCGCTAAAAGCATTTCAGTTAGAATTATGACTGCCTGCCACCGGCCACCGGCCTCTCCGCAGTTCCTCTTTTTAATGCACAGTTTAAGTGGCTCTCATTAAAGCTCTAACAAAGGCGCACATTTTAAGTGATTAGCACCAATAAGGCTCCCGCACATTAATATGCTCTCCATAGGCCCCACACTCTCCCGGCGAGCCCATGTGGAGCACAGCTATTCATTTTCCATATTAATCGCACACCCTTCCACCAACCCAAAGATGGAACACGACGCTTCCCCCAAGAGTCTGGGAGGGGCACTGAGGAACACAGGAGGGTGGGGTCTCTTACCCCAGCACCGCCCCATCCTCCCCCAGCTGCCATCCAGAGGGGAGGGCAGGATCCTGAGCCAGCGGCCATGTGGGCCTCCAAGCGCTTCCAGGCAGCAACAGCCGTCTGACACATCCCACCTCCCTTCCTGACCCTCCTCTGGGTTCACAGCTAGGCTGGCTCCTAGAGTTCTGGGAGTTGCTCTGCCCTGCTGAGCGTGACTAGGGTCTCGCTTGTCACCCAGGCTGGAGTGTAGTGGCTCAATCACAGCTCACTGTAGCCTGGACATCCTGGGCTCAAGCTGTCCTCCTGCCCCAGCCTCCTGAGTAGCTGAGACTACAGATGCACGCCACCACAGCCGGCTAATTTTTACAGAGACAGAGTCTCACTATGTTGCCCAGGCTGGTCTTGAACTCCTGGGCTCAGGCAATCCTCTGATGTCAGCCTCTCAAAGCACTAGGATTCCAGGTGTGAGCCAATGCACCTGGCCAGAGTACATATTTCCTAAGAACCCCTGTGAAAGCACCCAAGGGCAGGGAGACCCCACAAAGAAGGAATTCCTCACTGGCTCCCCCTGCCCAGCCCAAGCACTGGGCCCTCTGCACACCGAGAAAGCGATCCAGCCCTCCAGGTCCCTGCCCAGCCTCAGAGAAGAACCAGTCATATTCTAGGGAGAGAGGATGTGGCAGTGCCCGGGGGCAGCAGTGGCACTGACAGACCCTGCCTGCGGCCTCTCCAGAGGGCTCTTTTCAACCCCTGCTTTTCTAATGCAAGAGAAAACGGTTGGGACATTGGGTGAGAAGGCACGGACAGTGGCTAACTGAGGTCTCTGTTTAACAGGGAGGGAGAGAAGTGGAGGGCAAGGATGAGGTGGCCCTCTTGATCCAGGTACCAGAGATCACCAGAGCTGATGGCTCAGTGAGGTTTTCTTCTGTGGCTTTCTAAGCATGGCTGGCTGAATAACGGACCTCCAAGGTGTCCAGGTGCTAAACCCTGGGACCTGTGAGTGTGGTACCTTCCACGGTGAAAGGGCCTTTGCAGATGGGACTGAGTGAAGGTACTTGAGGTGGGAGAACACCCAGGGCTATCCACAGGGGTCCTCATAACAGGGAGGCAGAGGGACATTTGGTCAGAGCAGAGGAAAGTGAGGAGACCACAGAGACAGAGGCAGAGTGATGCAGCCCCACGCCAAGGGGATGCGGGCAGCCTCCACGCTGGAGAAGGCGGAAACAGATTCTCCCCTGGGGCCTGCAGACGGAACCAGCCCTGCCCGCACAAGCTGGACCTTTGCTATGGCCTGTCTGTAACTGCAAATTTCTACCATGAAAAGCGTGCTCCTACAACCAGGGCTTATTTGTGCGTAAGAACAGGGCCCAGGTTTCCCACAGAAATGCTCAAAAATACCAAGAGCAAAGTCGTTGGTCTGGGGCCTGGAGAGGGCTCTGCTCACGGCCCACAGACTCACCTTCCCCTCTGTCCCGCCACCAAAGCCACAGCACTCAGGCAGCGTTTCCTGCGTGGCCACATGGCTCCTGCTGCAGTCTCTGGAACAGGAGAGCCTTATTCTCCCAGAAAGACGCACAGTTCCATCTCCAAAGCCAAAAGCCCACGGGAAGGGGGAAGAAAGCATGTGGTGGGTGTTCTTTGGCTCGAAGGTTTGGAAGGGACCAAGGACAGCAGCTAGGCAGTCCCGGGAGCTTGAGCCGAGGCTGGGCAAGTGCTCCTGGAAAAGCCATGGCTGCCCAACGCTGTTCCCGAAGGGCGGGGTGCTCAGACCCTCACCCCTCACACGCCGCCAGCTCGGAGGAGCCAGCGCTGGGGTGGCTGGGAATGGACCAGAGGGAAGCAGAACTGTCAGCCAGTTGTGTCTTAATATTCTAGGCACTCAGGAGCAGTGGGGCGCCATGAAATCTACATTCCCGTTGTGCTGTGCCACTAGGGCTGACCTGGGGACCCTGCTCACTGCACCTGCTCAGGTGCCTCAGGGCTGGGTGGTCGCGGGTGCTCAGGGTGGCCCCAGCCCGGTTTCTCCAGATGTCTGGCTTCTTTCCAAGTATCCCATGACCTGAGGACCCAGCCCTCCCTCAGGCACATGCCAGGAGCATCTATGACAAAGCCCTCGTTTCCCAAGAGTCCCCAGGGAGCATGTGAACGTAGGCTGGTGGCACCACTGGTAAGAACATTTGCCGAGGGCACACAGGCCAGGTCCCAGCAGAACAAGGGCAAACACCGTGCGGCCACCACGCCGGCTCCTGCGCAGGTGAGCGGACTGCCGGCTGCACTGCGTCCTTTTCTGAGTGTTCTCAGAATTAGCAAGGGCCCAGTGGAGGGCCGGGCAACGGGAGGAAAATGAACACAGGCTGCCCTCCCTGGGCCCTGACCGCCTTGAGCCAGGTCCGAGAAGTTTGCACTAAGAGAACCGGAAAACAGGAGTGTCAGGGCATTGAGTGCGGATTTCACAGCAGACAAACCTCACTGCAGAAGGGCATGGGTCTGACCCATGGGTGAAAAGAAATGGAAAAATCACACGGTAATGGCTCAAAGCGTGTCACCACTCCCCCAAACCCACACCCAAACAGCAGCACAGCTCGGGGGATGCCAGCTGTTCCTCCCCACCCACAGGCTCCTCCCACTCAGTCCCAGGTTCCCAGGCCAAGGGGCAGTCACCTACCGATGGCCAGCCGCTCCAGGCGCTTGCCGTGCTCTGGCGGGATGGCGTACCTGTGAGAGAAGGGAGGCACGTCAGAAGCAAGGTCGTCGGTGGTGGCCACGCATAGGGCTGGCCTTGGGGAGACACAGACAGTGCCCAGGGCAGAAGCGAAGTGCAGTCGTGGTCAAGGGTGTGGGGAGGGGACGGCTGGCAACAGGGGCTTTCAGGACAGAATCCATACGGAAGTGAGGGGGCCGGGAGGGGGAGCGGGGAGTAAGGACCAGAGACACACTCAGAAAGCCAGGAGTGGAGATTATCCTGGTTAAGTGGCACTCCACGCTGAGGAGGCTGAAAAGGCAAAAATAAAAGCAAGCCGTGGATTGGAACTGCAGGTGGTGAGGGCCCCAGAGCTGCCAGCCAGGTCTCCAGGCCCGCGGCAACCACTTCCCGGTACCGGGAGCCAACAGGGAGAAGCCGCTTCGGGAATGAGAAGAGCTACCTTTGTCACCGACTTTGTTTAATTTTTACACAGTTTACATTTGAAAGATCACCGAGGCTCCACTGTGAATAGAAAATGTTAAGATGAAAGTGTGCAAACACCGGAAGCAAAGTGGGGGTGACATCCCACTTATGCCACACATGGAAGCTGGCGACCCCAGACATGGGACTCTCTTCCCATCAGGGCGGGTGGGCCCTGGGACCCGCAGCCTCGGGGGGATAGCAAGAAGCCTGATGCCAATGGGGACACCACTCAGCCCACTCCCAAGGCCTCCAGCAAAATGAAAACCTCAATTTCCAAGCAAAGGCCACTGGGACGGGGGTGGGGGACTCGAGGACACACAGCTGAGGGCCAGCTGAGGGTGGTCAAGTCCCGTCCCTGACCCTGCTCGACAGGCCAACAACTCCCGTTCTAGAACTGTCACACAGATGAGAGGACACATGTGACCTGGTCTCTCCCCCAGACCCTCCCAGGTCGGAAGCAAGACTAGGAAAAGCTGACAGGAGGAGACGGCCCCAGCTCCACGGCAGCCCCTTCCAAATGAAAGGCGACTTTGGTTTTTTTGTGTGTGATGGAGTCTCACTGTGTCTCCAGGCTGGAGTGCAGTGGTACAATCTCAGCTCACTGCAACCTCCACCTCCCAGGTTCAAGCAATTCTCCTGCCTCAGCCTCCAGAGTAGCTGGGAATATAGGTGCCCACCACCACCCCGGACTAATGTTTGTGTTTTTAGTAGAGACAGGGTTTCACCATGTTGGCCAGGCTGGTTTTGATCTCTTGACCTCATGATCCGCTTGCCTTGGCCTCCCAAAGTGCTGGGATTACAGGTGCGAGCCACGGTGCACAGCCTGTTTTTTAATGAAATAAAGAGGTCAGGCGGGTTGGGTGTCTCACACCTATAATCCCAGCACTTTGGGAGGCCAAGGTGGGCAGAGCACCTGAGGTCAGGAGTTCAAGACCAGCCTGGCCAACATGGTGAAACCCCTCCTCTACCAAAAATGCAGAAACTAGCCAGGCATGGTGGCGGCTGCCTGTAATCCCAACTACTCAGGAGGCTGAGGCAGGGGAATCACTCGAACCTGGAAGGCAGAGGCTGCAGTGAGCCAAGATAGTGCCACTGCACTCCAGCCTGAGCAAGAGAGAGAGACTCTGTCTGAAAAAAATAAAATAAAATAAAGAGGGGACAGGGGCTGGACACCAGGCGAGCATCACAAAGCCTGTAATCTAATAGAACACAAATCATTAGTTTCCAGGCCTGCTCCCAGGGTCCCCAGCAGAGGCGGCCCCAGCACCTTCAGCTCTGCCGACCTCAGACTGTCTTCCAGTTTGCACAGAGCTGCGTCCCTTTTAAATGGCCTCTCATCATGTACATAAGGATGAGAAAAGTTCATCCTAATCCAAAGCACCTTTGTGGGCTGAAAGGCCCCTCCACACTGGGAATGAAGCACTCGCTCCTTCTGGGAAGCTGCCTGGACGGGAAGGAAGTAATTTATGGCTCCAAGGCTGCAATGATTAATGCCGCATCCCCAGCCTACAGTGCTGCTCCACCTAATTACTGCCTGTAATTGGGAGTTGTAAAGATAAGATTAATTGAATCTGGCAAATGTTAAAAGTTTAATACATTGGAACGTGGCTCCGGCGTTATCTGAAAGCACAGACTGCAGGACGCGAGCCCAGCGCTCAGAGGAGCGGCCCCCGGAGAGACCACGAAGGACTCTTGGACGGGAGGCCAGACAGCCACGGAGCCTTCTGGACTCCTCCACCGCCAGCGCCCAGCAGCACCTCCCACCTCCCGGAGCAACGCTGTGACCGCCTCGGGGACCAGAAGACCTGATGCCGGCAGACCTGCCTCCCAGCCACCCCCAGGGACGCAGGCAGAAGTAAATTCTCAGTATCCGAGACAAAGTGCCAGACAGGGCTTTAAGGACACGGCTGAGTGCCGGCTGGAGGGGCCACGCTTCATCCACGCAGGGCTGAAAGCACACCCTGGTTCCACTTGGGGAAGCAACATTAGGATGGGGGCTAGAAGGTGGCCTCGGGCTGCTTCCTACACCAAGGCACTCTGGGTGTCCGGGAAGCCGAGTTCAAAGGATAGGGTGGTGACGGCACTGGTGGGCAGGCCACGGAGCTGGCAGGTTGAAGCAGACGCACTGCAGAGACCTACGGTCGCCACAAGAGAAGAGACTCAGGGAGGCTTCAGGCCCCCAGAGGGCATCTCAGCAGGGTCCTCAGCCCAGGGCCCCCAGAGAGCGCAGAACGCACAGCCCCTTCCTCACAGTCCCAGCTTGGGGCCGTGCTGGGGCATCCCTGACACTTGGCCTTGGCTCTAGAGGAAAAATAAAAGAAAAAGCGGCGATTTGGGTTGGAAATGTGGAAATGTTTGTTCACTGAAGCTGGAGGCAGGGGAGCATCTGTCTGGCGGGGCTATAAAACCAAGCCAGGCTTATGGGCCACCAGCACGGGGACATGGTTTGTCTCGCTCCCTGGGAGCTCAGACCCCATCACAAGATCAAGCCTCACAACCAAAACCAATCGGCTTTGCCTGCCTGCGACCCCAGGAGGTCTCCTTCTAGACACAGCAGCCCTGTCTGCCTGGGTGGACCAGGGCTCTTGCACTCTCTGGACAGACGGCTCCCGTGCGGGCGCCACTGGTCCCCAGGTGGGCCTGCTCCCAGCCTCCTGCCTCTGTCCAGCTCTGAGATGCTGCCAGCTCTACGTCTTGCACAGGCCCTGCCCACAAACCCCAGCACCCCTCCCTCCCCCACCAGCACCACCTCCTGCTGACACAAGGGCCCCCACACCAGCCTCTCTGTCCCGCAAGGGCTGTCCACCTTTCACCCTCTAGAGCCCTGCAGGCCAGGTCGGTGCACATGTCCCTCCCTTCTGGCACCTTCAGAGCACGTCCCCAGGACTGGGGCTGTGTATGGCATGCTCTCTGCAGCCATCAGCTCTCCCTAAGCCAGGGTGCGGAGGGTCTGCGGCCCAGCTCACAGGGATTGCTGGAGCAACCTGGAGAGGTCAGGACAAAGCAACTAGGAAGAGCCAGACCTGGAACCTGGTGGGGCTGTGGGAGGCAGAACAGGCCCCCCGCGGCTTCCGAGGATAGAATCCGAAACGGTAAGGGGGTGGGGAGATGCAGCTCAGTGCAACAAGGATGCTTCCAGCAAGCTCAGCTCTCCCAGCACAGGGCGGACGTCCGGGGTGCATCTGGGGGAGGCTGAAGGCAGCAAAGCTAAAGAGGCTGCCAGGGGAGCCTTCAGGAGGGAGGGCGGGGCGGCCTGTACAGGTCCCTCAGGTGCCCCCGCCGCAGGCCCCTGGCCTTGCCTGGAGGAATCTGGTTCTAAATCGGGGTGAATGCAATTACGAGATGCCCTTCTGAGGACTCGGGCCCCAGGCCCCAGGCATCACCCCTCCTCTGCTCCTCCGTCCACAGCACTGTGAGGGGTCTCCCTCTCCTGGCCCTCAGAGCCCAGCCTCTCTGAGCCCCCGCACCCACTCTCTCTGTTCTGGAATGCTCTACACACGTCCTTCTGGAAGACGCTAACCCACGAAGTCACACCAACTCGGCTCTGAGTCTCCAGCTCTGGCTCTGCATCCATCTACCTGGCAACCTCTCCTGGTGCCCGGCGCTGGCCGCAGAGGGCCCCGCAGGCTGTGAGAGCCACACGTGGGTGCCAGGCGGCCGAGAAACAAGCCCAGGCACACACCACCTTCTGCAAAACCAGTCACGTGCAAGCCAAAGTGGCGTGGGTGAGAAAACAAAACAACCTGGAGTCAAGGGCCAGGACTCGGCCCCTGGAGCCGCCGGGCACTCAGGACGTGTGAGGTCATGATGCTTAAGGAACCAGTGACGTCCCAGCAGCATACCAGCTCCTAGGCCTGTGAGGAGACACGCGTGACGGGCACAGTGACTCACCAACAAGGACCTGAGTTGCAGAGGAAGGATGCCTGGCGCAGGGCAGTGGGTGGGCAGCCCCCGGACCCTCTGCCTTCCAGGTTTGGTTTTCACACTTCGAGGTGTTTTGAGTAGTGAATGTCACCAACCTTACACTTACTGCCACCCAAGAAAGACAAAGCTAAAGGGCTTAAAGCCACCCACAGGGCAAAAGTGGGGGCCAGGCCGCCTCTCAAGGGGCTGGGACCCAGAAGCGGAGAGCAACTCAGGCTAAGCCCTGCGGCCTGACATACGAGTCTGACCAGTGTCCAAGGATGCTCTGGTCACCTGGGAGGTCAGAATTGCACCAAGGACTGGACCCTGAGTGGGCAGCGCCAAGCCGTCACGTGCTCTTGCTTCGGGACCAAGGTCAGAGGGTGGGGGCACCCCACCAGGCTCAGCCAGCTGTGCTGAGAGCAGGACTGAGTCCGGGCTGGTGGCAGAGCTGTCTGGGGGATGCTGGAGGCCCTGACAGCCTCACTTCTGCCTATGCAATTCCCCAGGGTCCCTGGCGACAGGCGGGCAAAGCTTTGCCATGGGCCCCAGCAGAAGCCCTCGGGCCCACAGAGGACGCATGGATGGCGGGCAGCTCCTGAGCCAGAGCCGGGAATCAAAGCCAGGCGTTCTCTGCAGGCAGACG